CTGCTGTCCACTTATCCAAATCGTTAATTCATATTTACCCTTTTCGCTACAATACTTTACCATGATGATGTGTGACCTTTAATGTCTGGCATTTTTTTTTTTTATTACCATTTTGGAAACCCACAAACTTCGCCCAAGACCCATCGCTATATTTTGTATATGCAACTAATGACCTTAAATACTTACGAGGCAGATTTTTATCAATAAATAAATCTTTTATTAATTCGAGAAAAGGATAATCTAGTCTCTTTCCTTAGCATTAAGCAACGTATGTTTGTCTTATCAATGAAAAAATACGTTTTATTTTCGGCAGCACATCCCCCCCCTAATCCACTTCCCGATGTTGTCGTGGGGGAGGCTTAGGAGGCGGAGACTGGGACCCAATGATGGGGAACTCACCAACCTTGGGACTCAGCCCTCGACTCAACTAATTTTGCATGGTCTTTTTTCCACTCCTACTTTTTTGTTTCTGTCCCTTCACCAGTCCCTTCTACTATCCACCTCCTAAGGTGTGAGAGCTGTGCTGAAAGGATGAAAGGTTGACTTTGTGCCAGTCCTGAACGGCCTGAGGGAGCCATGGGCATGGTATTCCCCTGCTCTCCGACCCCAGGCTCTCCTTTGACCACGGCTCCGAATACTGCAACGACTACCCCCTCCTCAATGCCTACTAGTACAGTATCCACCCTAGTCAACACTCAACCCCCAGGAGACATTTCTACTCTCCTAACATGCTCAACTTCATCACTTTTACCCCCACAACTCCATAACACTACCTCCCTCAAAACTACTCCCTCTTCCACATGCCCACGCCCTTCTACTACCCCCATCTCTACAAAAATCTTAAATACTCTATTTAGCCCAGCCAAATGGGAACGATTTTACGTGATCCCTCTCACAGCTCCCTACTCTGACATCTGAAAACCAAGCTATAGCATTAGCAAATCTAACTGATCTATATGGTAATCCCATCCTTGCCGAACCCCATCCAAACCTCAATACTTGCACTGGAATTGTTTCTATCTCCCCAGCAAATTGCCCAATCTATGACAAAGATTGGTCAGATTGTGGAGAAGACTTACTCGCCTGTCTCACGGACCATGATGCGACATCAGTAAAATGCTACTCCATTCCTCCCAGAGGTCATCATAAGAAACCCACTAGCATTGCCAAAATAACTTTCCGTAGACATGACCTTCCCCTTAATGTTTACATAGGTGGAGAATCCCTCCCTGTCCGACCATACCAACCTCCTCCTCGTCAGTGCCAAAATTGTTGGCGTTTAGGACACCCGGCCAAACATTGCCGTTCCACAGCCAGATGCCCGCTATGTGCCCAACCTGGCCATACTTGATCAAACTGCTCTGCACAATCACGCACATGTGCCAACTGTGAAGGCCCCCATATTGTATTTTATAGGGGCTGCCCTACCTATAAATTTGAGTCTGAGGTGGCAACTCTCAGATTTAGACTTGAATTCCATTTAGACTGTGAAGCCAGACAGGAGTAAGGTTGACGAGGTTTTTCTCTTACTCCCTACTCTAGTAATGCCGCTCACTCTGCCACTCCGCCTACCTAGCTCCTACACCCTCTCCTAAACCTACCCCCCCCTCCATCTAACTTCCCCTCTTCTACCTCCTACCTTCCCCAGTCAAATTCTTTTGCTCTCTTCCCCCCCTCACAAGAAAACCTTTATCTTACAAAATTCCCCAACCAACTCTATTTTTTTTTTTTCCCCCTTTTCTTTTTTTTGTATATGTGGAGGGGTATCATATACATTAACATTTTACTTGACATTGAGTTGTTAGAAAAAGTCTTAGATTTTTATTTGATCACACTACAAAAAAAAATAAGGAGAACGCCACTGTCTATCACGACTCAAGCATGTTCTTAGATTGCATATTATAAGGGTTTATATGGCTTATATAAGGCGTATTGCTCTCCTTTGAGAACTTTTACTCTCAAAAGAAAATGCTGATTATACCAATCTCAATATTTCCTCCTTAGGCAGTTACAGTTGAGGATTGTAAGGGTACACACAAAAGACAAGAAAAAGAAATAAAATCAATAAGTTGTCACAATTTCACCTATGGATCTCTAAATGTAGGATTGATAAAGACTGATGGATAAAAGTCGTAGCTGGGAAATATAAATGAACCTACATGGAGAATTATTTAATAGTTGAGCTTGTGACCGACAAAGCCTGCTGTCCCTTGCTGTCGTTTGTTTTTTCGTTTTTTGGTTTTTTGTTTTTTGTTTTTTTTTTATCTTTTCTGGATCAGGTTTAGTAATTCTGTTTTATTTTAAGTTGTATATGCCTATCTTGATTTAAACCTTTTTGTTCTTCTTTCTATCTTTTCCTTGCATACCTATATGACAGCATTATCTTCTATTGTCTTTCAAGTAAGGTGACTAAAGAAAAGTAGGCAAAGCTGTTTCTGCTCAGTTGCCTTGAGGACCTGTTGTTTCTTCTTTAGCATGACTTTTATCTTTACGTGGTTTTGTGATCTGCTCATTGCCTGAATGCTAACTTAAACCAGTATGGTGGACCTTCTTTTGCCCTATTTCTTTACCACCAAACTTTTTCCTTTAAGAATACATTTGCATCATTAAACCCTAACTAATCAGTAAATAGCATACCTCTATCGTAAAGCAACACTTTGAACAGTACCTTCAAATCCTTCCAATTCATTCTTGGTTGTTTTCTGATTTTCTTCTGCTCTATTGTTGTTGGGTAACTTAGGGTTTTAAACAAGATGTTAATGTGCTATGTGGGCTTGGTATATTACAGTTTAAAATTATAGATGATATTAGGCACTATGGAAAGGCCATGACCTGATTTTTTTGGAAGTCATAACATCACAATAGCACACTCATTATCAATATATTATAGCTGTTATTATGACAGTTACTAATGCATTACAATATCATAATGACTACTTTACCTTAATGGATCAGTCATCATTATATCTGCCACTATCATTTTCATCATCATCACCATCATCATACCATTGTAATTATTGTTATTAAGCAATAACAGTAACAATAATTATCATTATACACAATATCATAACAATCGTGCTCATCATCATCAGTATCATTTCTAGTCTCACAACATCATCATCATGATTACTTTCATTACTGTCATCATCATCATCATCATCATCCTTACCTTCATCATTGTCAGCATCATTACTGTCATCATTATAATCATCATTATAAGATGATAACTGCTCATTCCTCATATTGTTACTACAGTGATGTTAATAACACAAATATTAGTAATGAAACTAATTTAAGATGGTAATAATCATTATAATTCAAAATAAAAATACCATTACTATTATGATATTATCAGGAGAAATACAGCCCTGTTAATCATCATCTGCATCATTATCTGAATAGGAAAAATAAGAAGCATGTATTGTACCTTCACAGTAATTTTTACAAAAATGTAAACACTCTTATCATAACTCTGCACCTCTAGTAATTCGGAATTGTTTAGGTGTACTTTAAACGATACAAAATGGGAAACAGACGCTGGAAAATGTGCGTTGAAAAAAGGTCTTGCTTTATGACAGCCTTATACCCTTCCCACCGGTGTTAAGATGAAATGTGCGTTCTCAACATTTCCATGGCTGACACAGTCTCTATTTTGTTTCTTATTCCTTTTCTTTATCTGTCTTGGCAAGTATTATTTCATCCCTCTCTGATTTTCAATAAATTGTATGTCGTAGTTCCCACATTATGTCTTCCCATACCTATTACATTATCTGTCTAGTATTCATATTTATATTAATAAAATCATGAAATACTCTACAAGTGAGGAAAAGAGGCTTTTTGTATTATTAACCTTATTCTGTATAATATATATCACCAGACTGATTACTTGGAAAAACAGAAAGTGAAAATGCAAATGCAAATGCAAATGCAAATGGCCTACCATATATGACACCTTCTACTATCTCACTCAAGTTCTTGTAGGAATAAATATGTATCAATAAAACAAAGATAAATACCAAAAAGAAATGCAACAGCTGAAAGTGAGGTGTAGCTTGGATGCATTATATGTCAGCTGTTTGTGAACGATAACCTGGTAAATATTTCTAGTCAGAATTGAAGCATTATAATTGGTGATTAATCTTATGGATATACTATGGGAGTAACTCATATTCTGAAGGATATTGTGTCTTCACATGAACACAAACACACATACATACCACACACACACATATGTTTTACTTTACCTCTGTAATTTAATTTACTTATTTGCATAAGCAATATATGCATATGGCAAATATGAAAGCACTTGGATATGTTTTATCCATTTTATTCAATAAATGATGCCTAAATTTCCCATAATTTGTATGATCTTAAATGTCCACAGTTTAACCCCATAATACTATGCCTATAAAGTAACAAATTTACAAACCTAGGAGTCATAAAGAAGCCAAGAGACTTATTGATCCTATAAACCCATGGGAGATGACAAAACTTAAAAATAATGAACTACATTTCCTCTTGACTGTCAGTGGCTCCAAGCCATTGTTCCAGCTTAATCCCTGGGTTTACTGTCCACTGTACATACAGATGACTCCGCAAATGTTCAACCTCCAAAGAGTTTAGTAGGAGGCCCTATTTACTACACCAGATTTCCCCATTCCTTGAATTTGTGGATAATTTTTTTTTCTAATTCTATCAACATTGATGCTGTTATTATCATTGACATTTTGATTAAAGGACTAATAACAACAAAAATATATATATTGATAAAGAACCTTTCCAAACATCAAGGAAAAGGCTAATAAAGTAAAAAAGGTAGGACTAATAATTGATTATACACTTGTTGAGCCATCTCTATGTAAAACCAATTAATAAACTGAAATTACAGTGGACATGGCATGTATTATTGCCATCCAGGGCAATTGGGATCAGGTGGGAGGCATGCAGGACTGATCCAGCATCAAGCACACACCCAGAATCAGGCAAAGGGAAAGACAGGCTCACAGCAATAATGCCATTTACATGCCAAATATTTAATGGTTTATCTACAGAACTGATAAAAGCTATATTATTATGTACAGAAACTCTCTCTCTGCTTTAAATCAGAATATATATTAGTGAATTCAAGAACAACAACAACAACAAAAAAAAACATGTGTAACAAAATAAGTATATTTTTTGTCAAAACAATCCATCCATAAGTTCTTATTCTTGATTCTTCTAAGAATAAGCATGACTTTCTATACATTTTGGGCCCATAAAAAAGAAAATAATAGCTGTGACTTTCTTAACCCATTTGCAATGGGTAAAAATGAACAAAAAATGGGGAAAATGCTGTGCTCATTGTTTATACTTTTTGTGAAATGTCTCTACATATAGATGACTCTGCCTTACCTGATTTCATTTGACGGGAAAATTAATTTTTTACTTGTGATATGAATATCGATGGTTATTTCTATTATAAACATTATAATTACTATGATGTTATAAACATTAGTAACAGCAAAATAAGATGACATAAAATATTTTCGTAAATTAAAGAAAAGGGTAAATGGGCGAGACAGGCAATACAAGTACAAATGTAGCCATCTATGTGTAAAAACAATTAAACAAGTAAACTCACAGTGGGCATGTGACGTATACGTGACACCCAGTGCAAATGGATTAATAAATTTACAAAATACATAAATATCAATATTATACTCAAAATATACACATTTATTAATATATCAGATAAATCCCACCTCTCTGATACAAGTATAATATTCACAATACTCATAAAAATACAGTTGTAGTTACAAAACAACACCCCTTTGTACCTGTATTTTGTGAAGCCCAGGATCTGCTCCGGTGTAAGAGTATATTGTCATGCTCTCTGAAATAAAAAAAATATTATATGAATATGAATAATCAGAAATAATTATTCACACTTCCATACTAATCCACGGATAAATAGAAATTGTACTAACATACAACTTAACCACTTATGGATGAAACCTTGCTTTTTGTACCTTCATATAACATTATAACTATACCATCACAGATACATATGAACACATCTGTAAGTATTGTACCAAACTGGTATTACTAAACATAGAGAAGTATTATCCTAAATTTAATTAACTTTAAATACTAAAGCAAGGAAGCTCATGTCAAGATAAAAGGTATGATAAAAGGAAAATTTCCATAGAGGATTATCCACTGTCTTCTCTACGTTCACAGTAAAAATCACACAAGTAGTAAATGACAGAGGATAATCTTTAATGCATTAAATTAATCAGTATAGTTAATCCAAGATCATGGGACAGGAACTGCATTTAGTACGAGGCAAAATCAACAATCTTAGGGTCTATACCTTTGATTTCTATTCCTCCTGCTCCAATAATATAGGTAAACGCTGCAAAAGGGGCAACAGGTGATTTCGCTATTATAAGCTGAAAATAAAAAAGGATGTCAAAAGTATGTCTATATGTTAATTTATAATCAAGAGTAAAGGAAGCTGAAGATAATATATAGATGTCAATAATATGTGTTCCTTCACAAACAAGATTACAGATGGCTCATAACATTCATAGGAGTTATATTCCTTTCCAGCATCTTCTGACTTATCGTAAGTCTAACTTTCCATACAAAATTTTGCCTAAATTCACACATTATCAGATTCATGAGCAAAAAAAATCTCGGAAATGTAAAATACAGACTGTATCTACACATGCATCTTTACTGAGCAAATATCTCAAACTTTTATATAAGATATGGATTTTTTTTTTTTTTTACTATACATAGCAGACAGAGATCATTAATATCAGCATCCAGAGTACCTCACAGATCTAAATATTTCATCACTACATGCTGTTACTAAAACACGTTTCACACGAGTACCATTTACTCATTACACAAGCCCCTTTTTCTCTGAACTCCTCCCTGCCGTATGACCCACCATGCTGCATCTCCAACCAAAAGCATGGTCAGAACTTTAGGAAATGGATGATGGGCACAGGTGATGGAATATAGGTCAGGTGAGAATAAATCTTAGAGAGTAATGATTCTATCTTGCACCTTGCATGTCTGAATTGTTAACCTCAATATTTTATTAACAATTTACAGAGGTCACTGATGAATTATAAATCAAAATACCACATTGCTAAATCACAAGGGAGGGACTGTGCCTCCTGTACCCCTCCCCACTGGGTAAGTCATTATTATAACCGTTTATAGTAAAGTATTGTTAACCCATTCGCCCCACGTGGCAAGAATAGATGCCATGCCCACTTTGATACACATTTATTTATTGTATTTACACATAGATAGCTTCACAAGTTCTTAATCTCCAAATAGCCAGTTATCAAGAACTACCTATTTCACCTGTTTACCCTTTTCCTTCACCTTAGGAAAGTCTTTTTTGTATCATTTCATTGTCTAAAATATTCTAATGACAATCTAATAAGCATAACATCAATAACAATAATTACAGTATCAATAGCGATGTTATTAATTTTCCCGCCAATTCAATGAATGGGAAAATCAGGATTGGTAACTAGGGCCTACTGATAGACTCCTTGCTGGCTGAGCACATGTGGAGCCATCTGTAGGTAACAAAATTTACCAAAAATTACAGGGGACAGAACATAAATCCGTGGCAAATGGGTTAAGTAACATAACAAGTTTATAATACCTGTCTGCTATTGGATCCGTCATACTGCAGAATGAGACGTGTGTTAACACAGTGTGTCCAGGTGTTTCCTAGTGCTGGCGTTATGTGTGTAGAATACATATGCTCCTTGGCACCTGTCAGAGAAGATATATTTCAGGTATATTTTCCATTTCCCCCAATGCTCATTATATACTTTCTGTTGCATTGTTTGGTTCTTTATCCAGAAATGTATTCTTTTTATCTTATTTTTACTTTATAAACTACCTTTCCTATCAGTTTGTCTGGCATTTATTCAAGTCCACATATTAAAGAACCAGTATCTTTAATTCTTTGTTGTAAAGTACCTTTCCTTCTGGTACACTGACAGTACCAAAAGTGTTATCCAGTAAATAACCAAAAATTAAAGAATCATCACTCTAAATAGGGTGAATAAACCTAAGAGTGTAGGAAAACCAGCAGTTACAAGACAACAGGATTGAAAAATATACCAACAAATTCAGAAAAATTACATTATCATGAATGACCTCGCTGCAACAAACATCTGAACATCACCTCTTCTAATCAGGTACTAATTAAGGTTATGTACACTACCCTTAATAACTTCCACTCAAAATTACCTCACCTGTGGAAACAGAAGTCTCAGCCTCATCTTCATTTCCTTCTCCTGTGATCATGGGTTCTTTGTCTAAGAATCTACTGGTTACCTGATTTGTAACAACAACCTGTAAGACAAAGAAACAGGATAGTTTGCTTGCCTACTTAGTATACAATTTGTTTGTCTGCTTTGATAACTGCCATGCACATCATTACATCCTTTTATGTAGTTAGAAATAACACAAGCAATCATTGCCTAACCAACCTTCTTCTAAATGAATATCAACTTTACCAAACACAATATTACAATATTTTAATAGGTAATATGGAGTTGTAATTGTAAGTTTGGCTGCCAATGTAGGGGTTCAGGTTGTGCCATCAAGGTAATATTGGTGTTCTGAGGGGTGCCATTGAGGTAAAATGATCAAATTTGTAGATGTGTGTGTAGCAGATAGGCACATTCAATCAGAGCTGACAACTGGGAAAAAAGTCCTTCTCTTCCATCACGATCCTTAACCCGACACTGCCAGAGATGCATGGAAGTACATGCCAAGCCCACTGTGAGTATAGTTTATTTATTGCCTTTACACATATAACAGATGACTCCACAAGAATTTAGTCACAGGGGAGTCAATTCCTAGTACTACCTATCTCCTTTGTATACCCTTTTTCGTGACTTCCAGAAATATTCTCTTTTTTATCTCATTTTGCTATTAGAAATTTAATCAATATGATAATGATCATAATATCTATAATAATAGTAACAGTATCAATACTGATAGCATTATTAAAGAAAAGAAAAGAAAAGAAAAAATTCTGAAAAGTGAAGGGAAGGTGGTTTCAAGTTATGTAACAAGGTCTAACTGACTCCTTGGTGGCTGAGCACTTGTGGAGCCATCTACGTCTAGAGACAGTACAGAAGGCAAAGCCACAGTGAACACTACATTTTTCTGGCAGCATTGGATTAAGATCCTTGATAGGAAAGTTCAATCAGTTCCTGGGAAATTATTCTATTATTATATGTTAAGACACAGATATTTGTCCATAGATCTTGACTGCTGTTTTCAATTAAATTTATTCAGGTCAGCATTATAATTTCTAATAATGACCTTCACCCTATCTAAGAATATGCTATCCTAAAGAACCAAAAAGGGATATATTTACAATCAATTATCATACCATATGTTAGCAACCAATAGACACACACACAAAAAAAACAGAAACAACAACAACAACAACAAAACAAAACAAAGAAAAGGGGAAAATAAAGCAATAATAACAAGGTTTCCACAAAACTTACACATATGTTGAGCTGCTGTGCAATCGACTTGAGTCTCGCAGCCCAAGACGCCAGCTGGTTGACCCGAGCTATGTTTGCCTGGGACGATCCTGCCATCATCTCCTTGCGAGCCAGGGATGCTATGGAGTCCACAATCAACAGCCCAGCATCCTTTTCCACTGCTGTAACCTCTAGGGTTTCTAATCTGTAATTTCATGCAAGAGAAGCAGATCATTTAAATATTTATTTATTCATGGATTATCAGTGAGTGTGTTCTTAGTGTGCTGCTAAGGATGTACTATGAAGCTTTCCTAAATAAATAATACACTTTTTTCCCTAAAAGTAAATGAGATAGTTGTAAGAGATAAGAAAAATGAACCATAATCCTGAAATAAATAATCATTTGAAAAAAAAACAAAAAAACTACATATTAAAAAGTGTCTCCAGCTAATAATGGACTCTTACAAGATTACAAAAAGTACTTATAAATGTTACAAAACATTCAGAAATATCCTCAAGCAGCTCTGAAATGCAACACAGATACATACATACACACGTACACACATACATACACACACACACATACACACACACACACACACACACACACACACACACACACTCTTACATACACACACACACACACATACACACACACACTTTCCCATCAGCTAACTTACAATCCACAAGCTGTGTCACATACCAAATTAGTAATATCTTAAACACAGTAAAGACTTCAGCCTACAGTTATGAAAAAAAAAAAAAAAAATAATAATAGTGATGATAATACTAAGAAATAAATCCTCATCCCAAAATCAAATCAATTACACCATACTTAGTACTGAAAAAATTACAATGATACTATTTAAATAATAAACACATTCATTAGAGACTGAAAGAGCTAAAGTGTAAAGATACGCCATCCATTACCAAATGACTGTTAGTACACTATTCATAGGGCCAACAATCCTAGGTCATAAAAACGGTGCTCACTAATTATCAAAATAATTACATTTGTGACAAGTTGCTGATTGTAGATGGCTGGTAGAGGAAGATCTTGGATAAATATTCCGAGATTCTTGGCTCGGATTCAGGATATCTCTTGCATATTATCTCAACAATTCTGGGGGAAGGAAGGGAATATATAGATGTGGAAATGTTATTCATATACTTTTACCTAAAAAATGATATGTAAATAAAAAATAATATATAAATGCTTTTCATATATACTTTCTTTCTGGAAAAAAAAGGTTCATGAATATGCAAATACTATAGTTCTTTAAAACAAAATAAAAAATCTGATATGGCCACAGGAGCTTTCCTACTCAGGTTATGAACTCTGAGAAATACATAAAACCCTATCTGTAATTTCAAAATTTAAACACATTAATTTAACTGACAAACATAATGTAAATCCTGTAGGCTTTCTGTTTCTGTGTTTCTGTGCCACTGTGTCATTTGTAGTTATTTGTGGTTTTCACAGATACTTATTCACCTTAACAAGTTTATGAAACATTACATTGGAACCTAATAATTATGAAAACTAATAGCAATTACATATGGGTCATTCCATGTCAACTCACAGATGATGTGTCACCCATCCTTTCAGATTTCAATGACTTTCATACCAGAAGTAGGAGCTGATATAGTTATACCTCACCAAAATTTTCAGCTCAATATGTCAAGTGGTTCTAGAGATATGGGCTGTTCAAATGTGACCCATTTTAGGGCATGGCCCACCCATATTTTACATAATCGAATAACGATCAACTTCAAAATGCTATAACTTTATTTCTGGTCATATTTTGGCCAAAAAAATTTGCCTGGTATACATTTAGATAGTGTAGATTCCAAATATGTTTTGCAAATGATCATTTGAGTAATGAAAATTGACCAGATGGCTCATTAAAAATTTCAAGTAAAGAAATGGCATCTCATGGATGGTCATTTTGAGGGGCAAATTGTGCAAAACTGCAAAATCTTTATAAATTGAAATTTATACCAGATGAAAGCTCTTGAATTGGGCTATAAGAAAATACTTGGTTAACCATGTGTATATGAAGGACCTATGAAATAATTTGAATTGAAAAAAACAAAAAAAAAAAAAAATAAAAAAATAAATAAAAAAAGTTATTTGGCAAATTTGCATTTTAATAACAGTCACTAGGATATTGTTTAAAGATTTGCAATATGCATCTTTATTTGAGCTAAAAGATAAATTACCAGTACTGTATGCTTCAAACTACTCTTAGAATGACCCTTAAGATGATAGTTGCTTGAAAATTTATTAAAATATAATTTGGAAAACTGCAAGACCCTTTTGAGTTGAATGGCATTAAAGAAAGTAGAAATCACGTTGATAACAGCTGTTTGCATTTATTATTTTATTCATTCAACTTTTATTCACTGGTTCTAATGTAAGCAAAGGCAATGGGTGTTAACATTCATTAAGACTTAATTTCCTGATGATATTGAAAGCTAGTAATAAGCAGGAAAGAGCCCAATGAGTTTAAAATGCTGATAAGCTGTCACTTCCTTGAAGATGTTTTGAAAGGAAGCTGATCTATTTCCTGCTAACTAAAAGGTAGTGTAAAATACCAAAAGCAAGTATCCTGGACTAGTTAAGTCATTTATTGCAAAGATGATGGAGGAAGGAGTTCCTTGTGACTTTGGTGGGTTTTTTTAAAGATTCATCCCATAAAACATATTTTGCAAAAAAAAAGTGTGAATTCAAAGACCTAAATGATTATGATCCTGAACTAAAGGAAGTTTACTTTTGGAGAGCTGGAATTTTCAACCATGAAGACATTAACAGCATGACAAAAAGGAGGAAGATGATGTCTGCTTTCAACAATGGCACTCTACTGACAGCACCAAACTTTTAAGTCAGACATTAAGCATTGGTGACTTTGCTGATCTAGTGGTCGAATCTATTGATTCTCTCACTACTCACTCATACATTGCAAAATCTCAAGCTAGATATTTGAAAAAAAGAAAAGAACTGCTGGAAGATACTGCCATTGTGTTGGGAGATTTCACTGAAAATTACTTGTTTGTCGTACAGGATGAGGACCAGTCATTTCACTGGATTAAACAGTCTTGTACATTACATCCATTAGCAATATATGAAAGAGAGAATGGAGAAATCATGCAAAATCTTTTTGTGTCATTTTGGATGGAGCATGACAGCAGTTTAGTTAACCAAATTCAAATCAACATTTCACAGCTCATCAAATCCAACAGGCCTCAAGTTACCGATGCAGAATACTTTTCTGATGGTTGTGCTGCTCAGTACAAAAACTACAAAAAAATTTTGAATTTAACATTTCATCATCAAGACTTTGGTTTGTCTGCAAACTGGTCCTTTTTTGCTTCAAGCCATGGAAAGTCGCCAAGTTACAGTATTGGAGGAGCAGTTAAGAGACTGGTGGCAAGATCAAGCTTACAAAGACCATACTCAAACCAGATTTGTATGGCCAACAAGACCAGATATTTGCTGCATTCCTGTGAATGACTTAATAATGAAGATTAGTACTCCAACAACTGCAACTGGAAGAACATACTACATAACACCCAAAGAATCTGCTTTAATCAGCAAGTCTTTCTTGCAGCTCCTACCATAAGCAAAGACTTCATAAAAGTACTTAGTAGCACAAAACATAAGTAATTTATCTTTTAGTTCAAATAAAGATGCATATTGCAAATCTTTAGACATTATCCTAGTGACTGTTATTAAAATGTAAATTTGCCAAATAACGTTAAAAAAAAAAAAAAAAAAAAAAAAAAAAAAAAAAAATTGCCTTTTTCAATTCAAATTATTTCATAGGTCCTTCATATACACATGGTTAACCAAGTATTTTCTTATAGCCCAATTCAAGAGCTTTCATCTGGTATAAATTTCAATTTATAAAAAATTTGCAGTTTTGCACAATTTGCCCCTCAAAATGACCACCCATGAGACGCTGTTTTTTTACTTGAAATTTTTAATGAGCCATCTGGTCAATTTTCATTACTCAAATGATCATTTACAAAACATATTTGGAATCTACTCTATCTAAATGTATCCCAGGCAAATTTTTTTGCCAAAATATGACTAGAAATAAAGTTATAGCATTTTGAAGTTGATCGTTGTTCGGTTATGTAAAATATGGGCGGGCCATGCCCTAAAATGGGTCATATTTGAACAGCCCATATTTCTAGAACCACTTGACATATTGAGTTGAAAATGTTGGTGAGGTATAATCATATCAGTTCCTACAACTAGTATGAAAATCATTGAAATCTGAAATGGTGGGTGACAATTTTAGATTTCTGCAGGCCATTTGACATGGAATGACCCATATCTATATCCTAAGACTTTTGCACTATCTATGTAATGATAATGCAAAAAATATATAACATTATCATCTCTAAAAAAAAAAACACAGAAACATGATTAATGCTAGACTAACAAACTTCTGGACACTCAAACAACCCTATGCTTTTCATAAGACTTTTTATATGGCAAATAAAGTAATAATTTTGACAGGCATCAGTAAGAGACAACTAGAATTTCTCGGGCACGTAATGAGGAAAGAGGCACTAGAACATCTTAGTGTAACAGGCAAGATCAATGGAAGACGAAGCAGGGGCAGACAAAGACTAACATATACAGAAAGCATAAGCAGGTGGACAAGAGTATCGGAGCAGGAACTTTTGAAAACATCAAAGGACCGGAAGAGGTGGAAGGCCATGATCGCCAACGTCCTTGCGGGACAGGGCATGTACAGATAGATAGAAAGTAATAATAATATTATCATTTTCAAAAAAATAATTTCTCATAAACATACCTCTCGGCCCTAAATGCTGTTTCTGTGTCGATGTATATAACTGAAGTATTCCGACCACTGCTTTCACCGGACAGCACTGCCCGAACAGCTGTGTGAAGGCACCATTGAGTTTTACCCACTCCTGCTGGTCCTGTGGATAACGATAGACTCCTTTAATATCTGCAAAGTGTTTTCTTTTAAAAAGAAAATAAAGTAAATCAAATAATTACAATGATTATTTATGCTGTGTTACTGTCATTATTATTACTACTGTATTCATTGGTACTGTAATTATCAAGCAGTGATATTTTCCTCATTACTTTAACATCAACAGTCTAACAATCAAAAGGGCTAACTTGCCTGCAAATTCAATCACAGTGCCAGCATGAAGCCCACCATGCAACATTGCATCAAGTTGGTTGCTTCCTAAAGATAGTGAGAACTTTTCTTCTTCTTGGCTCAGGGTAAAAGCCTAAATATAAATAAATAATATATATATAAATGTATATATCAGTGAATAGACTAATAAAAAGATAGACTAAATGTCAATCATTTTGTTGAGTAATACATGACTTAACATTATCAAATGAATTTACAATAGATTGAAAGATGTTGATAATGTATAGAGATATAAATGTTAGAGCAAATTTTTGCAAACAACTTAATTCATAATAAAAAATTGTTTATCACTTTCTTAAAATAACCAAAAAAGCAATGCTGAGAAAAAATACAATATCTCACCGACTGGTACTTTGGAACACATAATGCATACAGTCGATCCAAAAGAGCTTCACATTCTTCAGAGCTTAACTGGAGTGCGGACATAATTTGCAGAGGCGACAAAGAAAGCACATCCTGCAAATCATAAATATAAAATTTACACCACTTTTTTTTTTCTTTTATATCAAAGACCCTTTTAAACCAGTTACATGAAAATAATATTCGACTTTCACTGATTACTATTTTGACAAATCCTGATCTGACTTTCAGGGATGACATATTTTTACATGTGAACACATGCACATTTCCAATTTACCCCCCTAAATTCATGCTTATATGTCCAAAGTATATGTATGAATATCATTATTTAACTACACAAATTCATACAATTATTACTCACACATGTGACCAAATAATTAAGCATAAATAACTTATTTCAAACAATCGGTCATACTCCTACTAACATAAAACTACAAAATAAGTAATTCTACAGAAAACCATACACAGCTGACAGTAGCAAATTCAGCATCAATGGGTAGCATTTCATATGCTGCCTCGATATACATACAATTTCAGATAAATGTGTCTTAGCATATATTCTAGCAAAGATAGAGCTTGTAAACGTTCTTAGCAATTTATCACTAAATCTTGCCAGAATATAAGTGATGTAAGTTTATTGGCTTTGCCTGAGAGCCTATGGTGTGAGTGCTGCAATAACCACTTGATGGCATGCCTCTCTGATCATAACCCCACAATATGGTGAGTTATTGAGAATGAAACCCTCTAGAAATCTTGTGCCTTAATTTCATGCATATATGCCCTACCCAATATCGTAGCCACAATCAACGTCCATACAACCTGAGGGACTCCAGGGCTCACCCTGGCCTACATGCCTTCGGCACTTCAGCAAACCTCTACCATGTATATTCAGGCATGATAGAGCTTGTAGATTTCCCTGACGATTAAGTATAAAATAAGGAATTACCCAATCCAAAGTGTATCCTTCCAGTCTCTCTCTATATTTATATGGTGGTTTGTTAACCTTTGCCAGAGCGCAGCCTCTATCAAGTTGGACTGTACTGTTGTTTTTATTTACAAAATTTTTCTTATCTCTCGCAAATTTCACATAACGTGTTTTTTTTCCCGACACAGATTTCTACAAAATTTTAATCTAACTGGGATAACATAATCGTGATGAAAGACATTACCCATTTCCCAAAGCCACTGCCGTTACCTCCTAATCATTTACCAAAGTTCTTTTACCTTGACAGTTCTGAAATTACACCTCGCGAGTTTTTCCTTCAGTTCTTGGTCTTCTGTCAGTCTGGCAAGTCTGCGCATTGCCATTTTGGTTTTCTCAGGGAAGTAGGCGACAAAATCCACGTTTTCTTCTTCCTGACCTATGAAATTGTTATCTAATTCGATACAAATTAATGTTTTGCTTTAAACTTTAGCGCGATCACTGATAAGAAATGTAAACAAAAGGAATGCGGAGAAAAACGAACGATTCTCTGCCGATTTCCTTCAAATATCCCGAGAATGTGGGGAAGCATAAATACATATATATATATATATATATATATATATATATATATATATATATATATATATATATATATATATATATATATGGATAGATAGATAGATAGATAGATAGATAGAGAGAGAGAGAGAGAGAGAGAGAGAGAGAGAGAGAGAGAGAGAGAGAGAGAGAGAGAGAGAGAGAGAGAGAGAGAGAGAGAGAGAGAGAGAGAGAGAGAGGGGGAGAAGGAGGGAGAGAGAGAGACCGAGAGCGAGAGAGAGAGAGAGAGAGAGAGAGAGAGAGAGAGAGAGAGAGAGAGAGAGAGAGAGAGAGAGAGAGAGAGAGAGAGAGAGAGAGAGGAAGAAAGAAAGAAAGAAAGAGAGTCAGAGACAGAGACAGAGACAGAGATACAGAGATTTGACAGATTTTATACATATATATATATATATATATATATATATATATATATATATATATATATATAGAGAGAGAGAGAGAGAGAGAGAGAGAGAGAGAGAGAGAGAGAGAGAGAGATAGGTAAGCAGATAAATAGAAAAGCAGTTCTATATGTCACGACACAACCCTTGGTGTAAAATCTAACAAAGCTGAACTTGAAATTCTTAGCAATTTATCTTGCAGATGGTGAAAATATGACAGAAATGCCTGCGAGGTCAGCAGCTGTATTTTCAGTTTCCTCTGACTTATCATCAGCTGCATGGCAACCCCCTCCCCCTCCTACCCTCAGACCTCCCTCTCGCCTTCCTACTCTTCCCCTCCCCTCCCCTTCCTACCCTTCCCTCCCCTTCCTACCCTCAGACCTCCCTCTCCCCTTCCTACCCTCCCCTCCCCTTCCTACCCTCAGACCTCCCCCTCCCCTTCCTACTCTTCCTCTCCCCCTCCCCTTCCTCCCCTCCCCTCCCCTTCCTACCCTCCCCCTCCCCCTCCCCTTCCTACCCTCCCCTCCCCTTCCTACCCTCCCCTCCCCTTCCTACCCTTCCCCTCCCCCTCCCCTTCCTACTCTTCCTCTCCCCCTCCCCTTCCTACCCTCCCCTCCCCCTCCCCTTCCTACCCTCCCCCTCCCCCTCCCCTTCCTACCCTCCCCTCCCCCTCCCCTTCCTACCCTCCCCTCCCCCTCCCCTTCCTACCCTTCCCCTCCCCCTCCCCTTCCTACTCTTCCTCTCCCCCTCCCCTTCCTACCCTCCCCTCCCCCTCCCCTTCCTACCCTCCCCCTCCCCCTCCCCTTCCTACCCTCCCCTCCCCCTCCCCTTCCTACCCTCCCCCTCCCCCTCCCCTTCCTACCCTCCCCTCCCCTTCCTACTCTTCCTCTCCCCCTCCCCTTCCTACCCTCCCCTCCCCCTCCCCCTCCCCTTCCTACCCTTCCCCTCCCCTTCCTACCCTCCCCTCCCCTTCCTCCCCTCCCCTCCCCTTCCTCCCCTCCCCCTCCCCCTCCCCTCCCCTCCCCCTCCCCTTCCTACCCTCCCCCTCCCCCTCCCCTTCCTACCCTTCCCCTCCCCCTCCCCTTCCTACTCTTCCTCTCCCCCTCCCCTTCCTACCCTCCCCTCCCCCTCCCCTTCCTACCCTCCCCTCCCCCTCCCCTTCCTACCCTCCCCCTCCCCCTCCCCTCCCTACCCTACCCTCCCCCTCCCCTTCCTCCCCTCCCCTCCCCCTCCCCTTCCTACTCTTCCTCTCCCCCTCCCCTTCCTACCCTCCCCTCCCCTTCCTCCCCTCCCCCTCCCCCTCCCCTTCCTACCCTCCCCCTCCCCTTCCTACCCTCCCCCTCCCCTTCCTACCCTCCCCTCCCCTTCCTCCCCTCCCCTCCCCTTCCTACCCTCCCCCTCCCCCTCCCCTCCCCTCCCCCTCCCCTTCCTACCCTCCCCCTCCCCCTCCCCTTCCTACTCTTCCTCTCCCCCTCCCCTTCCTACCCTCCCCTCCCCTTCCTACCCTTCCCCTCCCCCTCCCTTTCCCCTTCCTACCCTCCCCTCCCCTTCCTACCCTCCCCCTCCCCTTCCTCTTCCTACCCTCCCCCTCCCCTTCCTACCCTTCCCCTCCCCCTCCCCTTCCTACTCTTCCTCTCCCCCTCCCCTCCCCTACCTACCCTCCCCCTCCCCTTCCTACCCTCCCCTCCCCTTCCTACTCTTCCTCTCCCCCTCCCCTTCCTACCCTCCCCTCCCCCTCCCCTTCCTCCCCTCCCCCTCCCCTTCCTACTCTTCCTCTCCCCCTCCCCTTCCTACCCTCCCCTCCCCCTCCCCTTCCTACCCTCCCCCTCCCCTTCCTACCCTCCCCTCCCCTTCCTACCCTCCCCCTCCCCTTCCTCCCCTCCCCTTCCTACTCTTCCTCTCCCCCTCCCCTTCCTACCCTCCCCCTCCCCCTCCCCTTCCTCCCCTCCCCTCCCCTTCCTACCCTCCCCCTCCCCCTCCCCTTCCCCTCCCCCTCCCCTTCCTACCCTTCCCCCTCCCCTTCCTACCCTCCCCTTCCCCTTCCTCCCCTCCCCTTCCCCTCCCCCTCCCCTTCCTACTTTTCCTCTCCCCTCCCCCTCCCCTCCCCCTCCCCTTCCTACTCTTCCTCTCCCCCTCCCCTTCCTACCCTCCCCTCCCCCTCCCCTTCCTACCCTCCCCCTCCCCTTCCTACCCTCCCCTCCCCTTCCTACTCTTCCTCTCCCCTTCCTACCCTCCCCCTCCCCCTCCCCTTCCTACCCTCCCCTCCCCTTCCCCTCCCCCTCCCCTTCCTACCCTCCCCCTCCCCCTCCCCTTCCTACTCTTCCTCTCCCCCTCCCCTTCCTACCCTCCCCTCCCCCTCCCCTTCCTACCCTCCCCTCCCCTTCCCCTCCCCTTCCTACCCTTCCCCTCCCCCTCCCCTTCCTACTCTTCCTCTCCCCCTCCCCTTCCTACCCTCCCCTCCCCTTCCTACTCTTCCTCTCCCCTTCCTCCCCTCCCCCTCCCCCTCCCCTTCCTACCCTCCCCTCCCCTTCCTACTCTTCCACTCCCCCTCCCCTTCCTACCCTCCCCTCCCCCTCCCCTTCCTACTCTTCCTCTCCCCTTCCTACCCTCCCCCTCCCCCTCCCCTTCCTACCCTCCCCCTCCCCTTCCTACCCTTCCCCTCCCCCTCCCCTTCCTACCCTCCCCTCCCCCTCCCCTTCCTACCCTCCCCCTCCCCTTCCTACCCTCCCCCTCCCCCTCCCCTTCCTACCCTCCCCCTCCCCTTCCTACCCTCCCCCTCCCCTTCCTACCCTTCCCCCCCTCCCCTTCCTACTCTTCCTCTCCCCCTCCCCTTCCTACCCTCCCCTTCCCCTCCCCCTCCCCTTCCTACTCTTCCTCTCCCCCTCCCCTTCCTACCCTCCCCCTCCCCTTCCTACCCTCCCCTCCCCTTCCTACTCTTCCTCTCCCCCTCCCCTTCCTACCCTCCCCTCCCCCTCCCCTTCCTACT